CCGCCCCCGGGCAGTCCGCTGCCGCCTCCACCGGCCCCAAGCCCTCCGACTGCCTGGTGCGCACGGGGGACAGGGGGGCACCGGGGACGGGGGGGTTCCCGGGGTGGGGGACACACGCCGGGGTCTCATGCCAGCCGTTGTCCCCCCCCAGGCGTGCCTGAACTTCAACCGGAGCGGGATCTGCGAGCTGCACTGTCCTCCCCTTGTCATCTACAACTCGGACACCTTCGAGTCGGTGCCCAACCGCGACGGGCGCTACACCTTCGGTGCCAGCTGCGTCAGCCAGTGCCCCTGTGAGTACCGCGCCGGTGGGGGGGTCCGGTGCCGAGCCGCCATGGCTCTGACCCCCCCCGGTGCCCCCCAGATAACTACCTTGCGACGGAGGTGGGGTCCTGCACCCTCGTGTGTCCCCAGAACAGCCAGGAGGTCACCGTCAACAACGTTCAGAAGTGCGAGAAGTGCAGCAAGCCCTGCCCGGAGGGTGAGCAGCCCCCGCAGTGCTCTGGGGGGGCTCTGGGAACCCCAGGGGTGCGCGGGGGGTGCCGGCCATGCCCTGGGGGGGGCCCTCCATGGCTGGTAGGGCAGGAGCAGCGAGCGTTTTGTGGGGAGCGGGGGTTCCGGCAGAGCACCCCAGCCCCGCTCTGCCCCCGCAGTGTGCTACGGGCTGGGAGTGGATTTCCTCAAGGGCGTCCATGCCGTGAACGCCTCCAACATCCAGCACTTCGCCGGCTGCACCAAGATCTTCGGCAGCCTGGCCTTCCTGCCCGAGACCTTTGCTGGGTAAGCGCCCTGGTCCCCCCGCCCCCGCAGGAGGCTGCTGGGACCCCCTGCCCCCTCCAACCTCCCTCCCGTCCCCGGCAGGGACCCCAGCACCAATACGCCACCCCTGGACCCCAAGCTGCTGCGGATCTTCGAGAGCCTGGAGGAGCTGACGGGTGAGAGCGGGGGGAGCTGGGGGCTGCGGATTGGGGGGGGACACGGGTGGGTAACGCTCAGCTCCGCACAGGATTCCTCTACATCGCTGCCTGGCCACCCGGCTTCCAGGACCTGGGCGTCTTCCAAAACCTGCGGGTCATCCGGGGCCGCGTGCTGCACAAGTGAGCGGGGCAGGGACACGGGGGGACGTGGGGACGTGGCGGGGGCCGGGCGTGCTCACCCAGCGGTGTCTCGGCAGCGGTGCCTACTCGCTGACGCTGCGGGACCTGGCAGTGCAGGCACTGGGGCTCCGCGCCCTGCAGGAGATCAGCAGCGGGATGGTGCTCGTCCACCACAACCCCCAGCTCTGCTTCCTCCAGAAGGTGCCCTGGAGCAGCATCTTCCGCAACCCCCGCCAGCGCCTCTTCCAGACCCACAACAAGCCCCCCGAGCAGTGCGGTAAGCAGCACCCATGGGTGATGGGGCTGGGGGGGAGCTGGCGGACCCCCTGGTTGCTCACAGTGCTCCCCCGCAGAGAGCGAGGGGCTGGTCTGCTTCCACCTCTGCGCCCACGGGCACTGCTGGGGCCCCGGCCCGACCCAGTGCGTCGCCTGCGAGCGGTTTCTGCGTGGCCAGGAGTGCGTCGCCTCCTGCAACCTCCTGGATGGGTAAGCGGCGAGCCCTGGGGACGGCAAGCAGAGCATCCCCCCCCGCCACTGCGGGGGGTCCGGGATCCCTTCCCCATGCCCACCCCACGGTCCCTTCGCCCCGCAGAGCCATCCGGGAGCACGCCAACGGGACGCGGTGCCTGCCCTGCCACCCCGAGTGCCAGCCCCAGAACGGCACCGAGACTTGCTTCGGATCGGTGAGGATTGGGGGGGTACACGGCGGGGTGGGGGGCAGCCCCGGACGCCTGGGTCCCTCACACCCCCCCTCCCGCAGGAGGCGGACCAGTGCGTGGCTTGTGCCCACTACAAGGACGCGCAGCAGTGCGTGCGGCGGTGCCCCAGCGGGGTGAAGGCAGACGCCTCCTTCGTGCCCGTCTGGAAGTACCCAGACGAAGATGGCGTCTGCCAGCTCTGCCCCACCAACTGCACCCACTCGTGAGTCAGGGCTGGGGGCCGGCCAGGCGCGGGCAGGGGGTCACGGGGGGGGTGCTGACGGGGGGCTGCTGCACGCTGTGTCCCCAGGTGCACGATCCGGGACGAGGACGGCTGTCCCGTGGACCAGAAGCCAAGGTACGAGCGCGGGTGCCCTGTGCCACCCTGAATCCCACCCCGACCCCCACCCTCTGGGTGCCGGAGGGCTCCTCCAGCCGAGACCCCCACCCCGTCAGCATCTCCCCGCCCTGGTCACCTTCTGTCCCACAGCCAGGTGACGTCCATCATCGCTGGCGTGGTGGGGGCTCTGCTGGTCGTCGTCCTCCTGCTCATCACCGTCATCTGCGTCAAGCGCCGGCGGCAGCAGGAGCGGAAGCACACCATGCGGCGCCTGCTGCAGGAGACCGAGGTGGGGACGCTGGCACCCGTGGCTCTTCTGGAGGGGACAGACCCTCAGCGCCGGGGGGGGTGCCAGGAGCCCTGCCCCCCCTCACCCATCTGTGTCCCGCAGCTGGTGGAGCCGCTGACGCCCAGCGGGGCCCTCCCCAACCAGGCCCAGATGCGGATCCTCAAAGAGACGGAGCTCAAGAAAGTGAAAGTCTTGGGCTCCGGCGCTTTTGGCACTGTCTATAAGGTGAGGGGTGGGGGGTACGACCGGCGGGATGGGACCCTCCCTGCTCCGCACCCCCTCACCCGTGTTCCCCCTCCCAGGGCATCTGGATCCCTGACGGGGAGAGCGTGAAGATCCCGGTGGCCATCAAGGTCTTGCGGGAGAACACGTCACCCAAAGCCAACAAGGAGATCCTGGATGTGAGTGTGCCAGCGGTGCTGGCGGGCGAGCGGTGCCGGCGGCAGCCCCTGCCCAGCCTGACCACCCCCTAACCCTGCCCGCAGGAGGCCTACGTGATGGCAGGGGTGGGCAGCCCCTATGTGTCCCGGCTGCTGGGCATCTGCCTGACCTCCACGGTGCAGCTGGTGACGCAGCTGATGCCCTATGGCTGCCTCCTGGACTACGTGCGGGAGAACAAGGACCGCATCGGCTCCCAGGACCTGCTCAACTGGTGTGTGCAGATCGCCAAGGTAGGACCAGGGGTCCAGGGGGACCTGGGGGGGGACGTGGTGGGCGGCTGGGGCCAGCCTGACGCGCACCCCCCCAGGGGATGAGTTACCTGGAGGAGGTGCGGCTGGGGGACCCGGGCCCGGCTGCTCGCAACGTCCTCGTCAAGAGCCCCAACCACGTCAAGATCACCGACTTTGGGCTGGCCCGGCTGCTCGACATCGATGAGACCGAGTACCACGCTGACGGCGGCAAGGTGGGGCTTGGGGACGCAGGGACAGAGTGATGGGGATCGTGATGTCCCCCCCTCGGGGACAGCCAGATCCTCCCAGTCCTGCTCACCTCTCCATCCTCCTTGTCCCAGGTCCCCATCAAGTGGATGGCACTGGAGTCCATCCTGCGCCGGCGCTTCACGCACCAGAGCGATGTCTGGAGCTACGGTACGTTGGGGTGGCCCCATCCCCGGGCTCGGTGCTGGGGGGGGCCCGCAGGGGGCTCAGGGCACTGCTCACCCCCGTCCCCGTCCCCCCAGGCGTCACCGTGTGGGAGCTGATGACCTTCGGGGCGAAGCCCTACGATGGGATCCCCGCCCGGGAGATCCCCGCCCGGCGGGAGAGGGGGGAGAGCCTGCCGCAGCCGCCCATCTGCACCATCGACGTCTACATGATCATGGTGAAATGTACGGGGTGGGGGACAAGGACACGGCACGGGGACGGGGCGCCGCGGTGGCACCTCGCTCCCGGCCCTGACAGCGCCCGGCTCTGCCCCAGGCTGGATGATTGACTCCGAGTGCCGGCCCAAGTTTCGGGAGTTGGTCACCGAGTTTTCCCGCATGGCCCGGGACCCCCAGCGCTTTGTGGTCATCCAGGTATGCGGGTCCCTGGGGGTCCTGTCCCCCCACCAGCACCCCGGTGTGGGCACTGACCGCTGCCCTCGCCCCCAGAACGACATGGTCGGGCTGCCCGGCTCCATCGACAGCACCTTCTACCGGGCGCTGCTCGAGGAGGAGGACATGGATGACCTGGTGGACGCCGAGGAGTACCTGGTCCCTCACCAGGGCTTCTTCAGCGCCGAGACCTCCACCACCTACCGCAGCCGCATCTCCTCCACACGGGTAGGTGGGCCAGGGTGGGGGGGCCAGGCAGGAGCCCCCCTTTCCCGGCAGAGGTGCGGGGTGACCCGGTGCCGGGGCAGCCCAGGGCAAGGCTGCAGCCACGTCTGTGCTGGGGGATGCGGGATGCAAAGCCGCCCCTGCGCTGCCCAGGGAGCCCATCTGCGGGCAGCTCCTCGGTTTGGGCTGCAAGCACCCGACGCCGTGCCCTCTCCTGCACCCAGAGCACGGCGGAGACCCCGGCCGACGTGGAGGAGGGTGGGGGCTTGGCCGCCTTCCCCTTCCCGCCCCAGGGCCTGGCAGAGGGGCCGGAAGACCCCGTGCCGGAGGTGCCAGAGGGGGACGGCGGGGCCAAGGTGGCCCTGCAGAGCCCGGCGGCGCGGGAGCCCGGCGCCCTGCCGCGGTACAGCGAGGATCCCACCGGGCTGTCGGCCAAGGAGAGCGAGGTCCTGGACCCCGAGGGCTTCACCGCACCAGCCCCCCGCACCGCCATGCCAGGTAGGGAGGGGACGGCTGGGACCCTGCAGGAGGGGACGGCTGAGCACGCACCCTTCCCTGGGGGCTGCCCACCCGCCCCCTCTCCCAGCCCGGCCACGGTGGCTCCTAACGCACCCCTCATCCCTGCAGAGTACGTGAATCAGGCTGGGGAGCGACGGTCCCCACCCCGGCACCCCCGCGTGCCCCCGTCCCCACCGGACAAGCCCAAGGGGCACCAGGGCAAGAACGGGCTCATCAAGGAAGCCA